AAACAACAAGGATGGCTGCAACCGAAAAGTAGCCGGGCGTTGTGGGGGGCGCCTGTGGTCCCAGCTACTTGGGAGGCAGAGACAGGAGACTCGCTTGAGCCCAGGAGTTGGAGGTTGCTGTGAGCTGTGATACCATGGCACTCTACCCAGGGGGACAGCTTGAGGCTGTCTCAAAAAAAATAAAAATAAAAATAAAAATAAAAGAAATTGCTCCTTATTCATCTTATCTATGGGCCAAAAAAAGAAAAAATTACATTATATTGGAAATACATATAGTTCTAAGAAATAGGATAATTTTCCTTAAGTTTTATAAAACAAACACATATTTTGCCACTTAGAATGTTTATATAAAAGTTTATTAGTAACTAAAACATGCCAAATAATCTTCGGCTTAACTGTTCATGATAAAATAAAATGAACTTTTCTTTACACATGGCACTGAACAGAAATATCTCATTGAAGTTCATGTTTATTAATATTTTACTAAGTATAACAAATAACCTATTTAACCCTGTTAAAGATGGAGGGTCTTTAAAACCCCACATTGTGTGGAATGAACAATCAAGGAAGAAAGCTGGGGCTCCACTAAGAACGGTATTAAAACTTCCTCATTTTGTCTGCTTTATCTATTCATAGGCAGAAGGGGTCTAGGTGGTCTCTAACATTTCTTAAAAGCAATTCAGATTTCAGTAATCAAAAATCATGAATACTGATTATTCCATCAAGGAATTAAAAAAAAGATAAATCTGGCTCAGTGCCTGTAGCTCAAGCAGCTAAGGCACCAGCCACATGCACCTGAGCTGGTGGGTTCGAATCCAGCCCAGGCCCACCAAACAATGATGACTGCAACCAAAAAACAGCCGGGCATTGTGGCGGGCGCCTATAGTCCCAGCTACTTGGGAGGCAGAGGCAGGGGAATAGCTTGAGCCCAGGAGTTGGAGGTTGCTGTGAACTGTGATGCCACAGCACTCTACCTAGGGCGACAGCTTAAGGCTCTGTCTCAAAAAAAAAAAAAAGATAAATCAAAATTTAATATTCAATCATTTACATAAGTTAAAGTTCACTCCAAAAATATGGCATTTTAAGTACTTTTACCTATAAGGAATTATATCACAAGTACAGACCAATATTTCTCACCTGTTTCTTTTCCTACCCTTTTCTTACCTTTATCCTTAGCGCAGTGCCTTGTACATAGTAGGTGGTCAACAAATATTTGTGAAAGAATTTAATTTTACAAATGTGATTTTTTTTCCTTTTTTTTTGAGACAGTCTCACTATGTTGCCCTTGGGAGAGTGCCGTGGTGACACAGCTCACAGCAACCTCAAACTCTTGAGCTTAAGTGATTCTCTTGCCTTAGTTTTTCATTTTTTAGTAGAGACTCATCTACGTCTTTGCACTTTTCCAGAAGAGCTTTCAGAGCAGGAATATTTTCTTCTTCTACATAATTAATTACACTCTGTGATATCAGAACTGACATTTTCACAGAAAGCTGTAGTTATCTTTATGTCAATACCTGTTGCAAGTAAATTAGACAAAACACATATAATTTGTGGTTAGAAAAAAGTTACTATTAAATACAGCATCATTCTTAATATTAAACTTCAGCAAGTACACCTCCAGTGTTAGCAGTGAAAACCGGGCTTCACAGCTCAGCTGTCACAGTGCTGACCAGATGTCTTTTCAAGACTCACACTCAACTCCATGTTAACTTACCCACACCCCAAACTCCAGATCCATCCCCAAATCCTCCTTATGGCCGCCACAAATGCAAGGAAGTGCTCCACTGCACTTCCTACTGTCTCAACCAGTAAATAGCAGCTCCAGGTCCCGTCTACCACCATCAAATACCTTGGAACTAAGCAAGATGATGTTTTCCTCTTCCGCCTACATTACATCTATTAAAAATCTTTTTGGCTCTGCCTTTAAAACATACTTGACATGTGACTACTACTCAGCACTTCCATCACTACCACCTTCTTATAAGCCACTGGCTTCCTAACTGGCCTCCCTGCCTCCATTCTGCCTTCCCCGCAGTCTGCCCTCCACAACACAGCCACGGTGATCTTTTGAAAACGTTAAGTTAGGCCAGAGCTACCAGAGCCTAAGAAGGTAGGGGATGGGGAATGATACAAAGTTCTGGGTAGACAGAAGGAAGGGATTTACTGCATGGCATGAGCACTGTAGTTAGTAACATACTGCATATTTCAAAACTGCTACAGGAACGGACTTCAACTGCTCTCAATACAAAGAAACAGTAAGTATGTGAGGGATGGACATGCTTATTAGCCTGATTTGGTCATTTCATAATGTATGCATGTACCAAAACATCACACTGTGTACCCCCACAAGGAAATAAATTATTATTTTTAATTAAAAATTATATTAAATTAAAAAAAAAAACTTTAGGGGGGTGCCCGTAGCTCAGTGGGTAGGGCGCCGGCTACATACACTTAGGCTGGCAGGTTCGAACGTGGCCCAGGCCAGCTAAAACAACAATGACAACTCCAACAAAAAACTGGCCAGGCATTGTGACGGGTGCCTATAGTCCCAGCTATTTGGGAGACTGAGGCAAGAGAATCGCTTAAGCCCAAGAATTCAAGGTTGCTGTGCATGGCACTCCTTGAGACTCTGTCTCAAAAGAAAAAAAAAAGGCTCGGCGCCTATGGCTCAAGTGGCTAAGGCGCCAGCCACATACACCTAAGGTGGCGGGTTCCAATCCTGCCCAGGCCCACCAAACAACAATGATGGCTGCAACTAAAAAAAAAAATAGCCAGGTGTTGTGGCGGGCGCCTGTGGTCCCAGCAACTTGGGAGGCAGAGGCAGGAGACTCGCCTGAGCCCAGGAGTTGGAGGTTGCTGTGAGCTATGCCACGGCACTCTACCCAGGGGAACAGCTTGAGGCTCTGTCTCAAAAAAAAAAGTCTTCTGACCACTTCTCACTGTACTCAAAGTAAAAGCAAATGTTTTCACCTCAGCCTAGCTAACTCCACATGGCACAGCCTCTCCCTTCTGCTCCCCCTCACCCTCCCAGCCGCCTGACCACTCTGGGCACTGTCCTTCTCGGGCCTCTGCACTCCCTTCCTGTCTGTCTCAACTTCTCTTCCTCCTTACCGCCTTTGGGCCACCTTACTAGAAAGTCTCACCTGGCACATGATGGAAGAGAGTGGCAACCTCACACGGGCTCCCCTGCCACCTGCTCTCCCATACCCTTGATCTGCTTTACTGTTCTTCATCAGGACAGCACCCAGGACTGGCTCTTCCCACTTTATGCCAGCCCCCTTCCCCACAGCCCAGCCAGGCTGAAATCCTCAGAATTGCTCCCACCTGCCGCGCCACTCCATGCACCTGTCCTTGCCCAATTTGCTCCCCGCAATCTACAACATGGGCATCGGGCGTGCCCACCAAAGCACCTGCTGTTCTCTGCAGAGTCACAGTCAACATTTTTTCTGTCCAGTTCATTTCCTAACACTTGAGGTGAGCCAACCCCACGCTCAGTGCCTTAGTCACGGCCTTCACCATCCATATTAATCAACACTCCTAAGGCCACAAGAGACTAAGTTAAACCAGCTTAAGCAAAACAAAAACATGTATTTTAAGAATACTAGTTCATTTCCCACAACCACACCATGGAAATGTGGGTGCCAGTGGACCTCAAATACAAGTAGGATTCTCTTTCCCTATTGGCTTAACCTCCTTTCATTCTAGACCAAATTCTTTCCTACAAAGGGAAATACAGCTTCCCACAGATACCCAGCCTCAAATCGGACAGTTCTCAATACCAGAAGAAGCAATCTATTCTTTGTTCCCAGATCCAAACATCGCAGAAATGGATTCTGACTGCCCAGACGGGGTCAGTTGCCAACCGAGAACCAATCAACTATAGTCACAAAGTCGGGAGGGGTTACAAGGTCACATAGTATCAGCACTGTTTCCAGAGAAGAGAAACAGTTGTGATCTATGGCATCAATCCTAAAAATGTCTGTTACACCATCTCAGCCTTGGATCAATGTGACAGGCCATCAACCTATGCCTCATCTCCAATCCATGTGCCCCTCCACTTGTGCCCCTTCAATCCGTGCATCACACAGAACAAAAAGTGATCTACAATACATTCTTCTTAAAATCCTGGTTGGGGGATGGCGCCTGTGGCTCAAGGAGTAGGGCACTGGCCCCATATACCAGAGGCGGAAGGTTCAAACCCGACCCTGGCCAAAAACTGCAAAATATAAATAAATAAATATAATAAAATAAAATCCTGGTTGGAGCCAGGCATGGTGGCTCACAACTGCAATCCTAGCACACTAGCAGTCCAAAACAGGAGAATTACTTGACTCTAGTAGTTTGAGGCTGCAGTGAGCTATGATGACATCATTGCACTTTAACCAAGGTAATAGAGACCCTGACATCATTGCACTTTAACCAAGGCAACAGAGACCCTGACTGGGAAAAGAGAAAAAAGAAAATCTTGGTTAAGGGAATAAAAAAATGACAGCTTTTCCCTCAAAAATTATCCTAGGAATTTATGTCCTCTAAGCTTTTGTTTTTTAAAGCTATTGTAAAGATTCAATTATATAATTCCTCTGGAAAGTTTTGCTCTGTACTGATCTGAGTAAAGACAACAAGTTCAAGTCTTTTCTTGGAGACAGTCTCACTCTGTCCCCCTGGTAGAGTCCCATGGCCTCATAACTCACAGCAACCTCAAACTCTTAGGCTCAAGTGATCCTCTTGCCTTAGTTTTTCATTTTTTAGTAGAGACAGGGTCTCACTCTTGCTGGTCTCAAACTCATAAGCTCAGGCAATCACCCACCTCGGCCTTGCTGAGCGCCAGGATTACAGGCGTGAGCCACCAAGCCCCACCAACAAGTTCAAGTCTGGATTATGATGACGAGGGTGTGCAGAGCCTCACGTTCTGGCGCCATCCTCCCACTCCAGCCTCATCTCTTTCTCCCCTCCTCAGTCCCATCCCTCCCACCTTCACCTAAGCCCATCCACAGTCGCACCGGCATGGCTAGCCCCAGCCAGACTAGTCCTGTAGCTCCCTCACTGCCCCCTGCTTTCTTCTGTCCAGACCTTTGTGCTCATGGCCTCTCCTGCTTAGAAAGTCCATCTTCCAAATGCGTTGCCTGGACAGCTTCCACTCACCCTTGAGGTCACGGCTCTAACATTCTCTTCTCCTGGACGGCTTCACTGGCTGGCTGCTCAGTATACCCGACCCTGGGCCGCACCCTCCTCTAGACTCTTCCACCCCTCTTCTGCACCTGGGTATAAATCTCGACGCATACTGCTCATATCACACTCAACTCTCCACATCTCCCCAAAACTACAAGTTCCGGAGCCAGGACCCAGCTTACGTGTAACACAACGCCTACCTGACAGGGACGGAGAGAAAGAACAGCATCCCCTGCCTGGCAGGAAGGAGCCTTGCACACACAGCCTTGGTGTTCTCGTGTGAACAATTTCACAGAACACCAACATCAGACAAGGTCCCTCTGTGACCAGGATGTCAAGACAAAAACAAGACCACAGAGAAACAGACGTGAACACTGTCCCAACCACGAAGACGCCCACACATCTCCCCAGCCAGGCTGATATGAAGGATGGCCGCCTCTTTACCAATTACAGCTTTAGCCTTACTCCATTCCTCTTGCCTTCTAGTGAAGATTTAAACTATCCAGTTGCAGAATTACCCACCATCATCACCACCACAACTCTACTTCCTGGGACTCCCCATTCTGGGCAAAGCTTTGTTCTCTGAACTTCTCCCCCAGCTCTTTGCCCAGTTAGTGCCCTATGATGCAAACGCGCCTTTACCACAGGTGTTAATCAACCAACCTTGTTCAACTATTATGGTCCTGGTGGACTCTGACTAGAGGTCATGAACACCGTTCAGTATTAATAAATTTCACTGAATAAACAACACTAAAACGTGATGTTTATGAGCACATAAATAAGTACCAAGGAATTACTAAATAGGGCTGGGCATGGTGGCTCACGCCAGTAATCCTAGCACTCTGGGTAAAGAGCTCAGTGAACTGGATGCCAGCCACATACACCAAGGTTGGTGGGTTCAAGCCCAGCCCTGGCCTGCTAAACAGCAATAACAACTACAACCAAAAAATAGCGGGGCATTATGGTGGATGCCTGTAGTCTCAGTTATTTGGGAGGCTGAGGCAAGAGAATCGCTAAAGCCCTAGAGTTTGAAGTTGCTGTGAGCTGCGATGCCACAGCACTCTACCCAGGGCAACATAGTCAGACTCTGTCTCAAAAAAAAAAAAA